GGGTCTGTTGTATCGCTTGTTGCAGAAGAAATGTTTGTATGATCTGAATTAACTGCCACTTTCGTTACTGTCGCTTAAATCATTTTAAAGATCAAAATAGTCGATTTATGTCCCTGACGAACTAGGTGTTTTGGACTTAATTATGAATATCGAAGAACAAGTTCACTTTGTCGCCATTTAGAATTAAAATATGCGAAAAGATGAGCTCCTATTATATATAGTTAGGTGTACATAACGAACTATATAATAGAGTTCACGAAATTCTTAAGTATTATCACGTCAAGTTGATATTATATATATTCGCCCTCTAATGGTAGATTTACTTCCCAAATATTTGGATTGGCTTGCGTTATAGTATCACTGGCGAGTAACATTTATATTCTCATAACTAGAAGTTCTACAAATATAGATCTATCACTAACTTGTGGTGGGCAGAGCACAGATAGCCCATTGTGTAGCTTTGTGCTTAATTACAAACAAACTATCACTAACTTTAGCTTCAACGAAATGAAGTTTTTGAGGTTAATCTTATTTTCACGATGTAGTTATCATTAATTTATGATCAACACAAGTTACAACACAGATCGGGACTGATATTTAAATACTCCGTGGTTTAACGTTACGTTTCGAGGCTTATTAACCCTACAATTCATGGTTCGATCCCTTCATGAGCGCAGTACAGATAGCCCATTGTGTTGTTTTGCGCTTAACTAACAACAAACGAACATATAAGCTAGTAAATAACGTAACTAATTTAATATATCGGCCAACTAGTTTATTCTTACAGTAAATATTGAAAATAAAAGTGTAAAAAGAAAATACCACTGCAAGTTATTGCAGTCATAAACATAATTAGTGTGATATCGTCATTAAAATGGAATTCGTGTGAGCAACCTGAAATTCTGTATTTATTATTGGTCCTTAATTTTTCAGTGAGAAATGCAGTCTCGCATCATAAAGTGTAACCATTATATTTGACTTTTCACAAAACACTAATTTATTCTCAACATGTGTATGCAATATTTAATTTAAATCCATCAAAATTTGTTGAGAGTACTTGACAGACATACATTATCTCACAAGATGAAAATAATGAATTTGATAAAGCAATTTTCCAAAGAAAACTTACTAAGTTTCGTTCTGCCTGACTAAACTGAACGGTCTAGTTCTCATATATTTAGTTTAATGGAGATTTTTTGTGTATATGAAAAGAAAGGCTTTACAGGATCTCGCTGTGCAATTTTTATGTTCTGGGCAGAAAACAGTCATAGTAAAGAACAGGAATAGAATTGGTAAAGTTGGCACTGTTTCGTGTGGGGGCAAATTTTCATCTACTGGTCGATGTAAATTAAATTAGTCCAGATTCAGTTAGGTTCTGGTTTCAGTATGAGTAGACAAAGCTCAAAGTAACATCCGACAGTTAGAATTAATGTTAATTTCTGCACAAGTAAATACAAAAACAAGTATTATGCAGGCAGAATTTAGCAAAGTTTTAGTAAAAGTAAATTTTGTTGCAGTACTACATAAAAATATAAGTAAAAATACACACAAAAAGAAACAAACAAACAAGAAAAAAGAAACAGCCAGCGTAATGTATGATTGAAGAATGAATACTATGTTTGGAAGAAAGCAAAGTGCGTTAGTATTATTAGTGGGAGCTTAAAGACTAGTATACGCAACATTTAAAGATTTCACTACTGCTACAAGTACTTGTAATTAAATTGTCCATCGTTAATTATCTGAAACTCTGTACGAGTTATCAGTATTGATGTATAATACCTAAGCCGTCAGCTAATAAAACTTCTTGTAGATTCAATAATTATAACAAAACACACTTTCCGTTTTGAAATGAATGAAGTACTACGGTTTATGGGTAAATTTGATACACTACTTCTTATTTCTTTAATTTCGTATATTGGCGCTTAATGTATCTGTGCGTAGCAGTTCCAAGTATTGGTATTTAGGTCTTTTAGACCTGGGTGGGTCAGGTTCAAAAACCTCTTCCTCCCTCCTGCACTTGATTATCTCTTCAGTATTTATTTAATTACTACAAGAGGGCCAGAGTTTAGCTAGTCCACGCTTTCACTCTGAGTTCTTTCAGGGTCATGTTCGTGTAGGTAATTATATTAATACTGATGTGTTAATATATTTTCACTTTATTCAGTTGTGTTAAAGTGCACACTACGCGAACAGTTCCAGTTGTATCGTTCACATTTTTTCAATAATTTTAAATTTTGGCATGAGCATTCACATCTAAAACCCTTTTTAATGCTTTCATAGTAAATTAAAACTATTGATGGTATTATTTCTAGTTTTATATGGCCTTAATCTATTTTTATTTCTAATATAAATATTAATAGGGGAGGGGTACTTAAGACTATTTTCATCATGTATGCAGAAACGGTCGAGTTCACATAGTAGATCATTCTTTTTGCCAATTTTTCGAGAAATAATTTAGTAAACTATGTAGGAGTCTATCAGTTAGTGCTTCTATATGTGTGTAATTGTGTATAAATGTTGAGGAAGTTGATCTAGGTACTCTGAATGCTGTTGTAAGTAGTGTGTTCTGTAATGTTTGTAATTTAGTTTTAATTTGTTTTGGTGTTATATTTATCCAACCTGGTACTGCATATTCTATTACTGGTCGTATGTATGTTTTATATATTTTAACTATTTTTCTGCTGTTGCTCAGTTATTTTTACCTGCTACACTCCTTGCATAGTTCGTACGCTGCCAAACTTTGGCTTTTATATTGTATATGTGTTCAATCCATGTTAATTTTGTGTCATAAGTCAGACCTAGGAATTTAGCTTTTGTTTTCGTTTGGAGAAGTGCTCCATTCATATACAGTTCTGGAGAGTCTTTTTTTATGTTAAGTTAATTTTACGAAAACGACTAGTTGTGTTTTAGGTACATTGATTTTAATTCGATATTTTCGGCAGTATTCCGTTATTATATTTAATTGAGGTTGGATATTTGTAGCTACAATAGACGGGGTGGGAACACTTTTCCAAACTACTACATCATCTGCGAACTGCGACGAATACCTATGATTGAAAACTGGTTTAGTTTGTTTTGAATTTCGCGCAAAGTTACACGAGGACTATTTGCTCTAGTCGTCACTAATTTAGCAGTGTAAGACTAGAGAGAAGGCAGCTAGTCATCGTCAACTCTTGTGCTACTCTTTTACCAATGAATAGTGGTATTGATCGTTACTTATAACGCCCCCAGCAAGTTTAGTGGGATGGGGATTCGAAGCCGCAACACTCAGATTGCAAGTCAAGCGCCCTAACCGCCTGGCCTACATAGAAAACTAGCAGAAACATTAGTTTACAAGGTGAGCGTAAAGAAATAATAGCTGGTCAGTTTTTTTATCGTTTTTTTTTTTGTGTATGTGCACATTTGATCTAGTGGGAGAGACGAGAAACCTCACGTCGTCACATGATCATATAAATGTGGGTATGTTTAGACACATGGCTATCATGGCACGTTTAAACGCTACTCATAATCATGTTCAGTACGGCAATAGAAAATGTCTATCTGATAGTTTTTTGTCCACTCCGTATAGAACTAGGGTTTAAATATATTCGTGGATTCGACGACCGTTTGAAAATCGACTGTTTCGTTTTTGTGTCACGAATTAACATAAATTTATAGGTCGTGCTACGTACGTTATGATGGTTTTCTTCAGAAATCTCAGAACATATAGTTGTTGAAGCGAAAGTGATTAATTATAACTGCTATGTGTAAGTATGTATACACATCACTAACTAATGTATTATTTTTCAATAAAATATCACGCAGTAAAAGTATAATCACATATTTGGTTTACTTTATGTATTTACATTATAAAAATTGCACGAGGATCTTTCAGTTGATTCACGTATGATCAGAACACAGATACTGTATCATAACGAAATATCGTGTTACAGCTTCTACACTCCACCTATAGTCTGTATAATATGCTGAAATCATACATCAATAGTGGTACGTCCTATATATCATACAAATACCTCGTACTCGTCACACGTGGCGCCTAGTGATAAGTTATTTCCTCATTTTCACCAAACATTTAATTGTGAAGTACAGCAATGCAATGTAAAATATGATAATAGCACTGGAGTGATAAATGTTTGTCAGCACTGATGGTTGTACAAAGATAAAGTTGTATTATGTGTGAACTTTAGTTTCTCTTACTGAAGGTTAATCGCAGTAGCCAGAATGCGTTGTTGTTGTAACTAAATAACTGTAAGACGAAGTTCTATATTATTTTTTCATTAAGTTAGTTTGCAGCCTTCCCTGTAGCTTAGTGGGAAACTTTTGGACTTACAATGCGAGAATTCGAGGTTCGATCTTCGCAGCGGACAGTGCTTAAAGAGTCCATTCTATAACTTTGCGTTAAAACAAACATTCAGTCATTGGTACACATCAATAATTCCGAAATATCTTTCGTTTTTGTTTTCTGGTCTCTTTGCTTAGTGTGAGTCACTTTGGTCCTTTATCTGAACAGATATATTGGGTTTGTTTATATATTTAAGCAAGTTAAGTATATGTTGTTTTTAACCTTGTTGGAGTGAATTAAATGTATGTATTTGCTTGCGTTATATTTTAATTAATTGAACGTGTCATTTTTTTTATAAATAGCTTTTGATTACTCGAATTTTTTTGGAGATATTTAAGTTTATAAAACCTTATAACCTGAGCACTTTCAAAAGGTCCACCTTGAGTTATAGAGTTTTTATTCATTTCTGTCAATACTTTTTGAACCTATGTATTTTTCTAACATCATGAATATAGATATTCAAATATATCCTCGTGCACTTGATTTGTAAGAGGATGTTTATTATCATTGAAAATTTATTATAGTAACTAAACTCAAAAAACGTTAAAATACGAAATAAAAATTACCGATAGTGTGAATGTTTATGTTTAAATTGAATTATATATATATTAATATTTAATTTCATTGCATTTACTAATCACTGTTTTTTCTTTTGTAGTGCTGGTCCAAAAGGAGACAATTTGTATGAGTGGGTGTCTACTATACTGGGTCCTCCTGGTTCTGTCTATGAAGGAGGTGTATTCTTCCTGGACATCCATTTCTCACCTGAGTACCCATTCAAACCTCCAAAAGTAAGGCAATGTTATTCAAATGTATGCTGTCAATTGTGGTTGCTCCTAAATTACCCCCCCCCCCTTTTTTTTTAAGAAAAAGAGACAAAGAAAGTTGTGTAGTCTGAGCAATTATTTGTCACAAAAATCTGTTAGTCAGGCTCATTAGCTCTGAACTTGAATTTTTTTATAAATACACTCAATAAGCAGTAGGTTATCAGTAAATATGGAAACTATTCTTTTCTCGTCGTTTGAGATTGGACCTAGTTAGTATTTGTTATGTGTCTTCCAGAGTTTTATGAAAATAAAGCTCTAACACTAAGGTAGTAACACCATAAAATGTAATGTGTTAAAAGCAGTGTTCAGAAATATTAATTTTGCACCACATAAAAGGCTTGTAAAAACATTATCATCTCTGTGGGTGTGGGAGATAAGTTAGCAAATTGGATAGAAGAGTGTCTGGATGGAAGAAAGTGAGTTGGGTAAATAAATGGCAGATGGGTTTTAATTATAATAATTGTAATATAACGAATGAGAATTATCATATTTTGAATTAAAGTATAATTTTGATGGGAATAACCTTAACAGTGTCATAAAAGAAAGTGATTTTGGTGTAATAGTTGAACAGTCTCTTAAGCCATCCAAGTACTGTGCTGTTGCTAGTGGTAGGGCAAACAGGATTTTAGGTTGTATCTACAGAAATATTGAATACAAGTCTAAAGAGGTTATAATTTCACTGTATAGGTCACTGGTTAGGCCACATTTGGAGTATTGTGTTCAGCCTTTGGCTCTTTACCTTAGGAAAAACATTGAATTGTTGGAAAGGTGAATGGTGCCTGGGATGGAGGGGTTGTCATATGAGGAGAGGTTGAAATCTCTCAAATTCTTTTGTCTTGAAAAAATAAGAGTTACAGGGGATCTGAATGAGGTGTTTAAGATTGTAAAGGGAATTGATAGTGTTGAAGCATCATCTTTTTTCACACTTAACAATGAGAATATCAGAACTAGGGAACACAAGTATAAATTTTGGTAGGGTAGGAGTCATCTCCAGTTAAGACAGTTTTATTTCTCTAACCGGGTGGTTGGCCTTTGGAATGAATTACCTTCAATTGTGGTGGAGGCAGTAAATTTGAATGGGTTTAAGGGAAGGCTTGATAAATATAATGAATGATGAGGGCTGGCTTTGAGGTTTGTTTTTTCATAGTTTTAGTATAGTGGATCAATAGGTCCATTTTTGTTCATAAATATTATGTTGTGTTATAAGCCACTATCCAGATTGGGTTCTTCTTATTGCCACAGGTGACTTTTAGGACCAGAATCTACCATTGTAACATCAACAGTCAAGGAGTTATTTGTTTAGATATCTTAAAGGATAACTGGAGCCCTGCCCTCACCATATCTAAAGTTCTTCTTTCCATATGTTCACTGCTCACAGATTGTAATCCAGGTAAGGATTAGCATCCCCCCCCCCTTCATTTGCTGAAGATTTTTTTGTCAGGAGCATTGTTTTCCTCGTGAATATTTTATGTAGTTGCGAATTTGTCAAAATCTAACTGTTGGAAACTTCATGAATATCAAATGATGAATGTATGTGTATATTTGATGTAAATTTTTATTACAAGGACTCAAAATGTCTAAAATATATTTCGTTTGCTAAGTATTGACAACAGAGATGCATTCTGATAAATTGTATATATTTATCTTGAACAAATTATCTACATTTTTAAGATCTTTGAGACTTGACGTTTTTAAAAGCAAGGTTGTACCTGTATATTTAATTTTTATATAGCTATAGATAGATTTACAATATTTTTGAAATCTTTTAACATCAGTTCAGCTAAGAACAACAGGGATTGCTGTTCTCTGTTCAGTTTTAAGTTTTAGGCTGACTAGTGGATGAAACTATATTGAAGGCGTTTAAGTTGCATAAGACAGTATACCCTGTAAACATTTTAATTAGGCCCGGTATGGCCATGTGGTTAGGGCACTCCACTCGCAATCTGAGGGTCGCGGTTCGAATCTCCGTCCCACTAAACATGCTCGTCCTTTCAGCCGTGGGGGCGTTATTATGTGACGGTCAATCCCACTATTCGTTGGTAAAAGAGTAGCCCAAGAGTTGGCGGTGGGTGGTGATGACTAGCTGCCTTCCCTCCATTCTTACACTGCTAAATTAGGGACGGCTAGCGCAGATAGCCCTCGTGTAGCTTTGCGCGAAATTCGAAAAACAAACAAACAAAACTAACAAGCATTTTAGTTAACATTACTTTGAGAAAATGGAAAAACGGATAAAAACAACATGCAAACCAACAAGCTGGACACAACACCCTGCTAGTATGGGTCACAAAATACACTGCCCTTAATAACTTGTAGCTGAACAATAACAGTTAAGTTAAGCTAAAATTCAACTCTCTTTATTTTCGCCTGTTTGGCATGATTTTCTCTCTAAAAAAAAGTAATTCAGATGTTCCAATTATAAATGTTTAGCTTTGTTGAATTTTATTCTATCTAACGTTAGTGAACGGATAAACTAGCTATCACGTTCACGTTTATAATTTGAAATTAAAAGCGTGGTTTAGGTTTGTCAGTCGTGCTGAGTCATTAAAACGTAGGTGTACCAAGAATCGATATTATCTAAATCTGCGTCTTTGTAAGCATGTTGCTTCAACGTGTAAATTTTATTTAACCTAGTCCCGAAATGAATATTTTCATGAGACGCAGCGTACGCTAGTCCTTCACTTTCCTGTACTTGCACGTACAAAATGTTCAACACAATGTCGCTAAAACCCGAGGCGAAGTTCTTATGCAGTGCATTTTCTGATATCAGTTCATCGATTTGAAAGATGAGAGCACCAAGTCGAAGCGCTTACATAAGAGGCTTTTGTTATTACCGTAGTAAAGGCGTTTCAAAAAGGTAACCAAACACCGTGCGATATTCAAAACAAAAATACTTTGTGATTTCAGGAGATTGCCACATATTGTGACATAGAAAAATATAATTTCATATTAATTAATTAAAAGGAAAAGTTAACTTATTATGGCAAATTGATCTTCGTTAACGATTTTTATATGTACTGACGATTCGTGCTTGGTGCAGGAGAAGTTTAATATGTGGTACTAAGTCCACATTTAACTTCGGCGCAGGAGAAGTTTAATATGTGGTACTAAGCCACATTTAACTTCGGTGCAGGAGAAGTTTAATATGTGGTAGTAAATCCACATTTAACTTCGATACAGGAGCAGTTTAATATGTGGTACTAAGCCACATTTAACTTCAATGCAGGAGCAGTTTAATATGTGGTAGTAAATCCACATTTAACTTCGGTACAGGAGCAGTTTAACATGTGGTACTAAGCCACATTTAACTTCGGTGCAGGAGAAGTTTAATATGTGGTACTAAGCTACATTTAACTTCGGTGCAGGAGCAATTTATTATCTGGTACTAAGTCCACATTTAACTTCAGTGCAGGTGCAGTTTAATATGTTGTACAAGTCCCCAAATATCTTCAGTGCATTATCTTGTGCTTGTTAACGAGTGTTCCCACCATGCACTTTTTGATTAACTTTCAGATTAATTTTTGGTAGAAAATAACTAGACAGTGATCTTATTATTTTTGGCAACAGTGGAGATTGAAGAAACACTTAACACCTTTTAAAATTAATATGATCAACATTTAAAATGCACAATAAAAAATTTTATTAAGGCCGCTGGCCAAAATTTAATGACTAAATGTTCAGTAATTTTACAACAACATCAGCAGGAGTAAAAACATACATGACAAGTGGGTATTTTTTTTATAGAGAAAAGGTTTAACTCCTTGTAATCTCTGCATTGTCACCAGCTAACACTTCTGTTAGTAAAGAATTATTTAATTTATGGGACAAACTTTCTATTGATTCTCTAATATTCAATTCACTTTCAGTGTTAGGTTAATTTAAAATTATTTTTCATGCCATTGTATTGAATGGATACCAGTGTGCTCAGCAAGAAGAGAAATTAGCAAGAAGATATTTCAATTTATGTTTTGTTTGACCAATATATTTTTTATTGCCATTCGATACAATGGCATGAAACAACAATTTTAAAGGAACCTAACACTGAAAGTGAATTGAATATTAGAGAATCAACAGAAATTTTGTGCTGTAGAATAACTAATTCATTGTTAAATAAAGATGAAGTGTTAGCTGGTGATATTGCATAGATTTGAAAAGAAATATTGACTTCTTATGTATAATACTCATACTACCTTCATAGATTAAAATGAGTTAAACTTTTTCTTTATAAAACTACCCACTTATCATGTATGTGTTCACTCGTGATGACGGTAGTGTAAAGCTACTGAAAAATGTAAAGTCTAAATTCTGGCCGGTGGCCTTAATATAATTATTACTGTGAATTTTAAACACTGATCCTATATTTAATTTTAAGGTTTATTGCACAACTCTTATCACACTTAACACCTGTATAAACAGCTACAGTTAGCACATTGTATAAGTAATGAAGAGATTTTATTAATAATATGAAAATCTGGACACTAATTGTTATTAATAAAACACAACTTGTAACTAGAAATACATTTTATCATAGAGAAAAGTTTTTTTAAATGGCCAGACACTACTCTTTTATTTGCTTTGAATTTTTCAACAGATTCATCACTAACATTTCTTATGTCTACATCTTTATTTAAACAACAGCATGAAGAAAATAGTATGTAAAATGTGTAATGTTTTGGCCGTAGTACCCAAATTAGCCCACACCGTCAAACAGAAAAGCATCTCTCTCTTACAAATCATTTTTTTAGATAGTCTAACATTAAGGTGATATATAAAAGAGGCTTAGCAATGTACTTTATTCTCAAATGCACCCATTTATAATTTTACATCTGATACAGCTTTGTTTTAGAATCCATAATCATTCCATACAATCAATAAAATGCTCGTTTGTAAACACAGTTGTTTATGACCAAAATGTGTATTTTTTTGTAAGACTTCAAGACGTCAAAAGTAGCTGTATTTCAAGGAGGTATCTGAAACAGCTCTTCAGTTGGAAAGTACCCTCTTTAATTCTTAAGTTCTTGCTGGTAAAGTGAATATGTGTATAAGTACTAGCTCTTCGCATGGGTAGTGAAGGTTTAATAACCTCAAGTTATGTGACATATAATGGTTTTCACCTGTGCATTTCACATGTAAAACAATGTTGTATATATTTCTCCACAATTTGTAGGCTGTTAGCTGTGTGATGAAGAAAATGATTCTTGAATAACTCTTGTATTACATACATGTAGAATATGATAACTTTCTCTGAATCTTACCACAGTCTCTATGTTATACTATTCCTAATCTCATTTTGTCCAGGCATTTGTCCAACACAAGGGTTAGTAGTATTTAGTTATAATATTTTGATTCTAATTTGTATTAGTTGTTCATATTCACTGGTGAGAGCAAACTTGGTAATGCCAATGTGTGTGCAGTAAATGAGAAAATGTTTATAACTTAAATCACCAATTTTTAGCATCAAAATATCAATGTGAATGGTATACTTACTGTTACAGCTGCAACAAGAGCTGGAAAAATGGTTAATATGCTACAGTGTGTCAAACAGATTTTCAATTGAAGTAAAGGATGTTCTACAAGTTCATTCACTGTCTAGAGGTGTAAGAGTACAATACATTTGTAAAACTGCATATAAAAATAATGGATGGATATTAATGATTTATATTTTGTTGTTAGGTAGTAGCCTTTTTTAAAAAGGGTAAAATGGACAAACTGGATGTTTTTTCTATAATAAGTAATAGTATTTGTTTTTGTAATTAGTATTTGTGAACTGTCATGTCCATAGTTATGTTGCATTTCATTGAAATGATAAAAAAC